CCCGACGGATCCGGATCAGTATTCGGGGGATCAGATCCAGATCCATTTTCTCGGATCCATGCACATGTCTGGCAGCAAATAGGTATCATATATTCATGAGTGAAGTTACCTGACCTTGCCTAGCAAATCTGAGTAAGCTCAGCCTAATCCAACCTAACCTAACTTAACCAAACTTACCCTGACCAAGCCTGACAACCCAACCCTACACCCACCCAAAACCTAACACCTCACCTACCTTTGCATAAGCCCAGGATGGGTTGGGTCTGATGAGTTAGGGTTGGGTGACCTCCCTCAATGGATTATCATGATACTCCTTGCACTAATGAGTATCATTCTTGGATTCAGGATATTGAAAAACATCAGATCAGATCAGATTTTTCTCGGGTGTTGCTTTGCAACGCCACCCCTTCCGTATTATCTTCGTCTGATATTCTATCGATTCTTGTGATCTTCCTCTTTGGCGTTCATTTGCTATTTCTATATCTCCATAATTGATATAAGTTGTTTTCTTTTTTTCCTCCATTGACTGGTAGCGCAGTTTCAAAATGACGCCTGGAAAGCTTCATGAAAGAAACATGGAAAGCTTCAAAGCAGCGATATTTACCCTTTGAAAACCATGTGGACATCAGCTTCAGTCATACAAAAATAACCTTAAATTAATCCGCGCCGGGCCGGGGGTTGGGTGTTACCCTCTTGCGGTTTTTCGCAGATATATCGAAAGCGGCGGCGCTGCGCCGCCATTTTTGGTACACCGTTCTGCATCTTTTCCGCACATGTGAAAATTTCAGACCCAGGTAACTCAAGCACCTCAGAAAAGTTAGAATCCTCGTCATATCTGTAACGACCAAACGATCACCTTGAAACTTTCAGCGATTGATAATAGTAACAGTGTATACAAATGCATATCTCGGAATTTGATATTGGTGACCTAAGGTCAGGCCAATTTTGCGACCTCTCCATTTCAGGTAAGTTAATGGGAGATAATTGAAAGCGCCTTTTTTGGACGAACTCATTCCAAACATTCTCAAACATCGTGTTACCGGTAAACTCGACAAGCTGAACCGAAAAATGGCACCTGTGACCCCTCCTTTTGACCCGAGGTCATATCAGTCATATCAGGCCCCCAGGAGTTTTCTCTGACAATACTTTTGATAGAGACGCTAGAGCGATGAGAACACCTCAGATGGTGTTAAGCTCGACGATACGGATCGACTGATATGCAACAACCTTTCCGGTCAGGCCATGACTTTGACCTGAGGTCACATTTTCAAAATGACCTTACAAGGTTAAATTATAATTCTTTCGACGCGTCTCGACGAGGGGAACACGATGCGCTGGCAAATTAAATGTCGTCTTTTCCCTGAGTCAAAAGTTATGCAGAAAAATGTTTTTCATAAAACCGCCATTTTTGGAGTTCTTGCCCTCTGGAGGCTAAACCGTTGACCTGAGGTCAAATCTGAGGACATTATTGCGAAATCGCGTTAAAAGAGCTATCGAATGCGCTTTTCCGAGGTCAAATCTGGGGACATTATGGCAAAATAGCATTAAAAGCTATCGAATGCGCTTTTCCGCGCCGCTGTAGCTCTATCGGTTCCCAAGTTAGCCGCTGGCAGTTTCCAAAATTGTTGAAATGGACAAAATGTTACCTTTGATGGCCTCTGGCGACCTGGGCCCTGTTTCGCCGGTGACGTAATGGTTTCGCGCGAGCTGACGTAATGTGATTGATGGTCACACTACTGACGTTTCGTGTAATCCGTGAGCTGCGTTTGGAACAGAGTTGCTGTCTCGTTGAATGCGTTTGATAACATTTTCTGATCGCACGGCCGTAAAGATGTTAGCAGCAATATTTGATGACATCACACAGATTGACGGCGTCATGGTTTGTTGATGTTTCCATGGAAACCCAATTTGACACGTGTGATAGCAGCGTGCTGCTATCACCGGTGAAACATGGCCCCGAGCTTTGACCTGATCTAAAACGAAGTGTTATTTTTGGCGTTCTTTCGAATGCCGCTTACTGCGTCTCGCTACGTGGCCCAGGAGCCGAGTTAGACGGGGGGGGGGGTTCAGAGTTCAGACCCCCCCTCCCGGCCCGGCGTGGAAGTCGCGGAGCACCGGCCCGGCGGGTTAATTGACAGAATATGAAAGCTACCCATGCCGTGCTGCAGCTACTTTGCACCATTAATTGTATTGCTTAGGATAAATGCGTTGGGTATACAGTGGAATCCGACAAAATCGACGGCGCCCGGGCTTCGAGCGAATGGCCGGTGCCTTAAGTGAGTTTGCCTGCCGTGTTCTGCGACCGTGGAAGCTGTCCGAAGTCGCTGTTAGCTGCACTGTCGCATAATCTAACTAGCATTCAACGCACCCACCCGCGCACGAATGTGTGATACCTACCTGGAAGACACACAGGTCAAGTTTTTGGCATGCCTGAATAGCGTGAACCTTAGGTGCGAGGACGAAGGGACTACGATGCCTCACCCGGACGAAGTACGCCTGCATTATACACTGGTATATTTAATGTTTAACGACCAAACAAACAACGAAGGAAGGGAATCGTAAACCTAAGTATCAAAGGAACAAGCAAACATTCACGAACAAAAACGCCAAACCCTGAAACAGTGTCAGGCGGTTTAACTCGCTATTATCGTCGTTGTTCTACGCCACACAAACACCATGACGGCATCCGAAGTCAGATCTGGTTTATTTTTCTCCCCATCGACGGCGGCGGGGCGCCGAAAGGTGGCGCCAGCGGCGATCATGGGGGGGGGGGGCCGCAGCGCCTGAGCTGCGGCCGGAGAGAGCGGCCCTGAAGCAGTTCCGCCGGTGTCTGGCGTTGGACTTGCCAGGCATACAGGACACAAAACATAGACAAGACATACATACATAGGTACAAGACATACTCCTCACTTGAACTTTGCCAACCACTGATCGTATGTTAGATCAGGGTTGGCAACGGGACAGAAAACCTTGTTTCGGCTTGGGCCGCCCTTCCCCCGTCTGTGCCCCGTGTCCGCCGTCAGAGCGCCTTTGCACTGGCCGCAGGTGTTGGTGGGCTGCCGGCGCGTGTAGGGCCTCTTGGCGGCGGTGTCGTGGCCGGTGTCCTCGGCCGGGCGACGGCGGTCTGCGCCTGTCCGACCGTGTCGGCAGGCAGGACGAAGTGGTGCGGTGGGCGGCGACAGTCCACCCGCACCACCTGCACCTGCATCAGCCGCGGCGCCGGTGCTGGCAGGGCGACTGCGGCGATCGGACGGGCTGGCGGCAGCTGCACGCCCTGGGAAGAGCTCTCCGCTCCGTCTCCTTCTGGTGCTCGTTGAACCTGGCGGCGAAACAAAACAAAATTGAGGGGTTTACTTTATACTGTTGATTGAAATGTTCGTTGGGGTCCTTGTATTCCAGAGCTCCTCTTTTGACGCTCCGATCTCTCAGGATGTCGACTTGCATCTCACCGCCTCATCCCAACTCGGTTCAGCGCATTTAGGGACAGAGTCTGATGTATCCCGTCAGCATTGGCGTCCCAGTAGGAAGACCATGCGGTAGATGCGCGCCGGTTTCCCAGTGCGAACAATTTTAATTTTCTGATACTCAGAAGTATTGTGAAACGTAATTGTTACAACACTGAATGCGTGTATTGTTCTGGCTTTAACACTCGCTGATAAATTTAGCAAATCAGGTAATGAACGGGTCCGCCCCCCCCCCCCCCCAGCAGTAAAGCCGCACACGGCGAATATGATGGTAGTATTTTATAACATATCTTACACCATTATTAATGAGAGGATGGACACTGGACATTCTATCAAGTCTCTGCATCTGCAGGATCGAGCGAACATATAACACCAGGACGTGAGCGTGTGCTGGTTCAGAGCCGCCAGGTTGACTCCAGTCCGCTGGGTGATTGCGGGACATTTGAGGAATGTCCCGCAGGCTGGAGTGGTGGGCCAGGATCTGCGCCCAGCGCGACTGGACCGACCCTCCGCTGCGCCTGGGGTTTCGGTACCCGCTCGCAGAGCAGGCGGACGACCGTCTCAGCGAGCCGGTTCAAGTCGGGTCGTTGCGCGGGAACCGCTCCTCGCTGAGTGAGACTCTGTCAAATAGAAATCCATCATTAAGTTCACTTTCACATGTGTTCTACGAAATTCTACGGAGCACACGTTGGACATACCTTCCAAATTGAAGGTCCCTGGCAAGCAGTATGCAAGTTGGTTTCGTGAAAATCAATAATTAAATTATGTGATGACGTGGACGCGTTTCGTATTTCTTTTTCATCACATCAGCATGTCCAGGTTGTGACTAACATGCGTACAAAATCCTACCAGCATGGACAATATCTCACTTTTATTGCCTTTTAATAAATATGACATAATTTAATAGTTCCAATAATATGCGTGCAAACCCCAATTATTCTGCCCGATGGTGTTTCATTTGAGAACAACGCTTACAATGATAGTCCTATTTTAAAATGCGGGATCCTTACCTCCGTGCGCTGTGCACGCCCGGCACGACACCAGACAGCCGACTGGTCTTCGGCTGTTTAAACCGGCCAGTCGTCAGCCGGTGCTGGTACCGCGGGGAGCCGCCACCTTGGCTCTGTCGCCGGCGGATAGCTGGTGCCACAGGTGGACGATGGACTCGGCCTCTTCGTCGGCGACATACCCCCGCGAGCAGTCTAGGCCGACGAGCACCTGCGCCAGGCGGTGGCACTCGGCGTACCCCGGCTGGTGTCGGGGCCGGTCACGTCCTTAAAACATACATGGAAAACGAGGGTGTCTGACAAGAGCATGTCACCTTCATGAACACATCAGAACATGCATTTGTGCACTTACAGTTAAAGCAATTTGATTGTGAGACAAGTTACAACATACCTGGCGAGCCGGGTCGCGGTTCCCGAAACTTGAGGTGGTGGCGGAGCCAGCGACGGTGGGTGGCGCGGTGGCTGTGCCCGGGACGCCGGCAGGGACCGGGCCAGGGGCTCCGGCGGTAGTCGGAGGAGCCGACAGCAGCTAAACGCCGTGCTGAGAACAGACGATTTATCCTTTTATAGCAGACTGGTGTGACCGGGCCGGGGTGCATTTACACTCGTGTCAGCCGAGATACCTAATTTCATAATTAGAAGAAAAAAGATCCCGAGTGAAACAGAAAGGTCGAAGCAACTCGAAGCAGCCGCACCTCCGGAAGACCCTCGGCTGCCCAGTCTGGCGTCAGTGGGATGGCGGGCGACTGAGCGGCGGCCACTACTGCACCAGGCCGGGTGAGCTGCGTCCCTCCAGGTCCGGCTGTGCGTCAGCTGGTGACCAGCTGGCAGCGTCGACGGCAGGAGGAGCCGGTGGAGGCTGGTTACCATGCTGAAAGTAGAACGGGCGAATTTAGCGCTCAGGGTGATTGGCATGATTAATATGTGCTTGCGCCCGGTGTATAGCTAACTGATGGACCATTCATCCGTTTGAGGTGGAACACACGGGACTATGTAAGCGAGCAATTAGCTGTCTGAATTAACGCTGATTTGCATATCGCTACTGGAAGTGTAACTATGGAAACTTTTGAGGTCGCAGGTGATCACTTCCAATCCTGGGGAGCTTAATGGTTTTATTTGATTGGACTCAAAACGGTCTGAATGACTGAGAAGTCCCGTCCTTAGATCAAACGAGGCTGACTACCTACCCGTGAGAGGTTGTGAGCTCTAGCGGCGGCGGGCCACGAGGCTGCAGCTGCGGCGGCTGCGGCTGCAGCGGGCCCCGGAGCAGCAGCTGTGGCGGCTGCAGCAGCAGCGGGCCCCCGAGCCGCAGCGGCAGCGGGCCCCGGAGCTGCAGCGGCAGCAGGCCGCGGGGCTGCAGCGGCAGCGGTAGCGGAGCCCGGTCCTGAAGGTGCAGCTGCGGCGGCTGCAGCAGCAGCGGGCCCCGGAGCTGCAGCGGCGGCCGGGCCCGGAGCTCCAGCGACGGCGGCTGCGGCTGCAGCGGCGGCGGAGCCCGGAGCTGCAGCGGCGGCGGGACTCTGAGGTCCGGCGGCGGGATTCTGAGGCCCAGCGTCGGCGGGACTCTGAGGCCCAGCGTCGGCGGAGCTGGGGACTCGGGCGGTAGCGGGTCCCTGAGGTCCGGCGGCGGCGAGGCTGGGGACTCCGACGGGAGCGGCCGGGAGAGGCGTCTGAAGCTGAAACACAAGCGATGTAGTCATGAGCTCAGTATGTTTCGCGATCCTAAGTTACCTGTACACCTATGAAATAAGTTATATGCTTGCTTCATTTGGGATGCAGAAAGTAATAGGGTAAATAACATCCATCAAAGGGTGCAGTATATCGCAAAATTGAAGTAGTTGCATTTAGCTTTAATTTTTAATCATATTGTTATGTTTTGGGTAGTGGGTGTGTCGATAGTCGCAGATTCGCGTTAGACAAAGATAAAAGTGGCGCGAGCATGCCAAAACACTAGCCCTGCCGTTGGTTTTGCGTAAATGCGATTTGACGAGGCTCGGGCAGGTCGAAGTTACAGCGAAAAAGTCGCAGTGGACGGTGCTGCCACCTACATTGCCAATAACGGGCACTATCATATCGTGATAATTGGGGTAGTTTCAAATGAGAAATGACTTCTATTTTTGTTCAAACTGCTTGAGAAGAAATAAAACAATTCGGAAACATACATTTTTCCCAAATATCGCGTTCCATTTTTTCCTGTTGAGTTGTTAGGAAAGTGGTAAATTTCAAGGTTGACGGCTAAAAAACGAAACAGGAGGAACAGAGCAGGAATCACCAAGACGTGTGCCGCGCCGATGTTGTAGCCTGTAGATAAGGGGAGCAACAGAACCAGCATACCTAACGATTTTGATTAGTGATAGATATTTTTCTCTAAATGAAAGACTATTAGTAACTCAGGCAAGCCTTCTAATATAGGTATCAACAGGGTTGCGGTAAAAGGTACAATCGATGGCACAATACAATTATTCTGAGTTGGGAAACAACACTCTTCAGATACCTACCATCAACAACCTCACTATCTCCTATATGGGAGCTATATCATCTGATTCCAGCGCCCTGAAAACAAACAGGTTATCACCAAAAATCTCTGTATTAGCGCCTACCGACATATGCTGAATGACGCTATCAATACCCGACATTTGTAAAAGGTGATTCGCCACACAGACCGCCGGCGTCTGAGGGGTTGAATCAGTGAGCCAGATTGCCAGCGACTCACCGCTGAACTACCGGGCATAACAAAACGGACGATGCGACATGACTCAGAGATCATCACAGACGCAACGACAAATGTAACCGAAGGCCATCTATCTCGTGCGGAACCCTCGTTCAGATACGTAATATCGCTATCTGCCACCTCGCGGTTCCCTTGTCAAGCCGAACTCATAGGCGACGGAACGGGGAGGGCACCGCGGCACCGTGCCCCCTTTGATTTTGGCATTTTAACATTAGCCCTATGGGCGTTGCATAGAAAGAATATGGGACCAAAAGTCGGCAGTGCCCCTTAATTGAAGGTATTCCGCCGCTACTGGCCGAACTGATGACACGCAATGGCCAGTCAGTCACAGCTCAGCTTCCTGCGGAACAGGAAGACACATTCAGTGAGAGTCGTGGTCATTCACTGTGTCAATATTATTGACACGGTGACTAAAGAACGGTTATATTGCGCCAATAATGTTGCCAGTAGCAGCACCACCAATCTTTTGAACTAAATCACTTGCTATCGGTGAAAGAAACCTTCTAGCTATTTTCAAGCAATACGCGAAATAGAGGGAATTAGAAAACCGAAAACCCAAATATTAGCACTAGATTACATCGATCTTAAATTTTGGCCAACATTTTTAAAGCAACATCAGAGGAGCTGTTGGCGGCTTACCGTCGCGTCTGTGATGATCTCTGAGTCATGTCGCATCGTCCGTTTTGTTATGCCCGGTAGTTCAGCGGTGAGTCGCTGGCAATCTGGCTCACTGATTCAACCCCTCAGACGCCGGCGGTCTGTGTGGCGAATCACCTTTTACAAATGTCGGGTATTGATAGCGTCATTCAGCATATATCGGTAGGCGCTAATACAGAGATATTTGGTGATAACCTGTTTGTTTTCAGGGCGCTGGAATCAGATGATATAGCTCCCATATAGGAGATAGTGAGGTTGTTGATGGTAGGTATCTGAAGAGTGTTGTTTCCCAACTCAGAATAATTGTAATGTGCCATCGATTGTACCTTTTACCGCAACCCTGTCGATACCTATATTAGAGGGCTTGCCTGAGTTACTAATAGTCTTTCATTTAGAGAAAAATATCTATCACTAATCAAAATCGTTAGGTATGCTGGTTCTGTTGCTCACCCCTTATCTACAGGCTACAGCATCGGCGCGGCACACGTCTTCGTGATTCCTGCTCTGTTCCTCCTGTTTCGTTTTTTAGCCGTCAACCTTGAAATTTACCACTTTCCTAACAACTCAACAGGAAAAAATGGAACGCGATATTTGGGAAAAATGTATGTTTCCGAATTGTTTCATTTCTTCTAAGCAGTTTGAACAAAAATAGAAGTCATTTCTCATTTGAAACTACCCCAATTATCACGATATGATAGTGTCCGTTATTGGCAATGTAGGTGGCAGCACCGTCGACTGCGACTTTTTCGCTGTAACTTCGACCCGCACGAGCCTCGTCAAATCGCACTACTTACGCAAAACCAACTGCAGGGCTAGTGTTTTGGCATGCTCGCGCCACTTTATATCTTTGTCTAACGCGAATCTGTGAGAAAAACACCTCTGTCGACACACCCTCCGGTACTCTTTAATTAACTTACTGGCATTTCGAGACCATCGTACGCGTCGGTCACGAAGATGTCCTCGACGTCCTCGAATCCCTCGTCGAGTCATCGCCAACATCGTCATCCTCGCCGTGCTGCGTGTCGGGGTCACCCACCCTGTACTCGTCGAGCCTACGGCCCGTCCGTACAGGTAGGCGACCCCGACGAGCTCACCTGAATGTAAACAGAAGCATGTGTGAAACATTATGTTTCACGACTTGTGACAACTTGACACGTCTTGGTACGTAAGTTCGTTTTATGTTATAGGTATTAGGTAGTAAATAATTTTAGCTGATCGGTTGTCGCGGCAGCGGCAACCTTTTCATAAGTTCAAATTCAATGGAGGCTAGCGGACTTAACTGCATTCGATCATTGGCATTAGTTGGCAGTTTTTGTACTGTATAATTTGTGTGACTGTAGCATGCGACTTTTTACCCGTGTATCGAAGAGGCTCGCTTCTGGTGACTAGGTCCCTCTTGAGCACCCTCTGCGACAGGTCGTTGACGGCTGCCCGTATCCGGCCGTCGTAGCACCCTGTACTCGTCCGTAGCACCGGACCTCGCGGGCGCTGTCCTGTCCGATCGCCGCCAGGTGACGATCCGCGTTCCATCTAACCAGACCCGATCAGGAAGGCATGGAAGTGGAGGTCGCTGGCTGTAGTCCCTGGAAAAGAATAGAATTAAGTATTAATGAGATACAGGATAAAGTGCTTAGCTTAACCCTATTCCAGAAGGCTTTCGACCACCCTTCAGGTTTCTATTGTGTCATTGCCAAGCGATATTAGATAACCAGTATAACGCCTTTTGGGGCGACTAACGGAGCGAGCGAGAGGGTGAGCCTTGCACGTGCGAAATTGCGAGGGGGTACCTCCAACTGAGTTGTGCACGGCACCCTACTAACCGGTCTCTAGCGATGTGCCAAATTTGAGCACAATCGGCCCAGCCGTTCTCGAGATCTGGAAGCGGCACCCTGCACGTGCGCACGTGCAAAATGGGTCCCAACTGACTTTTGCACGGCACCCTACTAACCGGTCCCTAACCACGTACCAAATTTGAGCGCCATCGGTCCAGCCGTTCTCGAGATCTGGAATCGACCCCTGCACGTGCGCACGTGCAGCAGCACCCCAACTCTGGCACATGGATATGCATTGCATAGTGGGTGCCTACCTACATGCCAACTTTTAGCGCAATCGGCCGAGTAGTTACCGAGATACCGTAGTTTCGTGCAACTTTGGCCACCAAGGGCAACTTTGGCCCATGCCTGGAAAAGGGGTGACCTCTATCCAGACCATGTTGCTTAACATTGTACATAAAAGATGACTTAATTATTGAGGCTCAACGAAAAAAGTGGGCCAAAGTTGCACGAAGCTACGGTATTGCAACTATTACAAAACTGACACCTCTTCTTTTTGCACGTGGCACCTACATAAGGGATCATCCACATGCATCTAATGACCATCTCGATTTTCGTGATTGGTTGTCTGGATCCATGCCCATGTCTGCTTGGAAGAAGGAATGAAGCTACCCTACAAAAATTACCGCAGGTAAATCGGTCAAGTGGTTGCTGAGATATAAGCCTCGCAAAAGCGTCCGCACGGCCGGCCGGCCGGCCGCTCATACCCAGAATTTCCGTTAATCTACGAAAGACTCCGCTCGCTTCGCTCGCTCCGTAATCATGTTTTGGCAGCAAAGAACAAGAAATGCCCACACAATGAGGTACTCTAAGAGCAAACAACAAGTGAACAGCCAGTTTGGGTGGCAATGACATATTATGTTTATAATTACCTGGCCTGCAGCATGCCGCTCAAGCTGCAGATTGGGCTGGATGTTGGGGCGCTGCCTCAGCTCCGCCAGACGGCCGGACTCAACATATTGCCGGATCCGCTGGATCCCAGCCCTGTCATGGGGGTCCTAGAGCATGGGTTGGATGCAGCTCAGCGTACTGAATTCAGCCACCATCATGACCATCATGCTCTAAGTATGCAGCCCAAGCAAAGCATTTGCAAAACCAAGGAAAAAAATGTCATGAAAAGCAGTGAGGTTAACAATAAATGGGATAAAAAAACTTGTGAACATAAGTTAACCAGCCACCACACCATTGCACTGTTGTGTTAGCTCGCAAGCACCAGCACTAAGCCTGGGGACCTGTGCAACAACACAGCACACCTTTACAAGTAATAGGTACAACTCTCAGCCCAGGACACCACAGATGTACTCAAAATACTATACTGTGCTATTGTCCAAGCCATCCACCACCCCCCCAAAAAAAAACAGCAAAACAGCAAAAGCGACATGTCCAACACCAAGCAAATAAATTAGTCAGAAATAGTGATTAGAAGCATCAAATAGGACCACCCAGTCACAGCTGACATTCTAGTGAGGATGCAAGAATGGTGCATGATGACTGGGGCTCTGAAAAAGAATGAGACCTAGTTACTCACTGAAAAATGGTGCACTGTTATGGTATGCGTATTGAGCAGGATTCTCTTAAAAAAAAATAATTTAATCAAACACATGTGAACATGAGTTCATAAGGGCTTTCTCATACTCTATGGTGTATGTTTGCATCCCTGTACCAAAAGAAGTCATTTAAAACCACAAGTATATGGGAACTAGGCATCAAGAAGTTCTCCATGAATTGTCTGCTCTTACACTGTGCAGTCCACAGTTACAGCCTCTTTGCAGCGCAGCCACCCCCCGGAAGGTCAGCGGCTGCTGGCTGCCGCACTGCCGTGGGCATCTTTGGACCTGAAACACAAATACAATCATATTATGTTAATGATAATACATACCAATTACCATAGACCTCTGTATACCTCTGACTAAGAACTAAGATAAGAGACTAAGAAAATGTAGATTTTTCGGAAAGTTAACAATTGATGGTAGGCGATCTAAGCTCAATATGTCTCCAACTCACCTTGTTATACAGGTCAAGGACAGCCCTTGGCTGTCTCGGACCGGGCCTGCTGCCCATGTCCGGCGTCCAGCATTTTGTTGTGCGAATTTTTTCAGGCGCTGGGCCCAGATGGCTTGTCCAAAGGCTTTGTGACTTTTCCCCATTGTTTTCTGTCAACAGTAGTACGGTGCTTCAGAGGGCCTTCATATAAAATTTCCATGTTTTAGGCGTCTACTGTTTTAAGCTTAAACAGTGTAATTATTTCAAAAATGCTTGCTCTCAATAAAATTAAATCATATTAATAAACCTATGAACAATGCATTTATTTTGACTAAAATGTAATGTCCTTTTATTTGACATCCTCCATGCAAACCTTATCATTATGACAACTCCGGTGATACCAATCAAATACGTTGGAACCTCTAACAATGTCGATGCAAAACTGAAACAGAAATCGATACTGACAAGGTACCTTCTTCTCTACCCACTTTCAAGACTTTCAACATAAATATATTCAGCATAACACTGCCCATGCATGCCATTGTAAAAAATTAATGACCTACACTTGGCGCTGTATGTTCGCCAGACTCACGTGCTTTGTCCAACGTTTGTTTACATTTGCTGGCTCCGGGCATGCATTCTACCGATACGACTGAATCTTGCTTCAGTAGAGCATACGCATCTCCGGCATCTCCAGCACCTTTTGCTAAAGCTCATAAGAGGTCCACTGCTCCACCAGACTCGGAACCGGTAGATCATCGATCGGTTCCGCCCTCTGATTGGTCGAGGGAGAGACTGCAACGCCCATTCCCCAGCATAGGAAACTATCATCAAAGACTTCAATTGATACCTCCCGATCACAAGAAAGGAACCATAGCTTTCGCGTGGAATATCCCCGACGGAATTAAGGGAGGCGACGATATTGACTCAGTGAGCTCTTGGATGCTCGTAGTTGAGAATGAGTGCCTTACATTGGGCCGAAATGTATTACAAAATCTTTTCTTTCTCCTTCCCTCTTCCGTTGGAGTTCCCCCTGGCAACACTAATGTTCCCCAGCTTTGGCGCTCCGTGGCGCTGGATCGTGTTGCTTCGAGTGGAGATGCCGCCAGCCAATCACGTTGCTTCGATTGGAATAGCGGCAGCCAATCACGTGCAAGCATTGAGTGGAGTCTCCTGGTAGAAAAATGCTCTACCGTTTCCGGGCGTATTCGCCCAATACGTACACTGAGCTGAGAAGACCGCCAGGCTCTTCGGATACCGGTAGAGCTGGAGTGGGCACTCGCTTATTTCAGTATGGCCTTGATTTCAGTGACGTTTGACAAAACTGGGTTGAGATAGTTATGTTTAACGAGAAGTTTTAAGCATTGAAACTATTATTTACAAATAGTACGTACCTATAAATTTATAATAACGGACACAAGTGGGAAAGTTCACAGCTTTATTGAATATAGAGGCGCAAACGTCACAGTCCTCGTTCAGCGTCCAATTAATTTTGTGCGTTAGGAGACCCAAGGCTGAGTAACAAACTCCGTAAGGTTTTGTTTTCATTTGGTTTATAATTATGTTTTTTGCATTATCGAAGCACAGTTCGGTGAAATTCGTTTTTATTTAGTTGGTCAGGTAGGTATGGCATTGACCGACCCACCTTGCCTGGAAATGCCCTATTAATGTTCATAGTTAGCATAATAAAGGGAGACCAAGCCGTGAATATCCTCTCCGATGCACCCTCATTTTTATTACCTATATTTCACTGAGTTCAATGCAAATATATTGGAAGAAAATCGTTCATATTTATGTTTCCTCTCGTTTCATAAGGCGTTCATATTTGTTTCCTTTTGTTCATAACAATAAGGTATTACACAGTGGCTATTTATTTAGAAAAGAATGTAATTCTTTAACAGCTAAGTCCAGGTCTTGTGCATTCTGGCCCTGTTTCATGGGCCCTAGCAGCGCTTTTTGCGAGCTGACGTCATATGGTCACGTGGGTGACACTAGAGGACGGGTTGTGTCATCCGTGAGCTTCTTCATAGCTGCGAATGGAACAGAGTTGCTGTCGCCTTGAATGCAAATGTATCGGCAACTCTGTTCCATTCGCAGCTATGAAGGAGCTGACGGATGACACAAACCGCCCTTAGTGTCACGTGACCATATGACGTCAGCTCGTGAAACGTTTGCAGCGCGTTGCTAGCCCGTGAAACAGGGCCTTTGTAGAAGTGTTGGCTGGTATTCTTATGGTACATTTTTTCATCAAAATACATTTTGCATTCAGAATTGAAATTTTCATGTTTCATCTTTTGCTTTACATCATCAGTTTGGCAAGTGCAAATCAACATAGATAATATAGCTACTCTGGGCCCTGTTTCACTGGTGATAGCAGCACGGCTGACGTCATGTCATGACGCCATACTGTTGACGTGATGGGCAGTTCTGGCGTACGAATGCCGCGACCTTGGCCACGGCATTAGTGACTTGTGCTTAAAAGTAAGAGTTTACACAGTCATGATAGTATATTTATTGTAACATATATTTTTTAATATGATGTATTTAAAGAAGTTGGGTTTAAGGAAAATTTGGACTTAAACTTCGACCATTTAGTTGATGACGTAAACAATATTGCGGCAATCGTGCCCAGAATTGCCCCTTACGTCAGCAGTACGACGTCATCACATTACGTCAGCTCGCGCAATTTGATAGCAGCGTGCTGCTATCACCGTGAAACAGGGCCCTGATCTTATATGGCTCAAAGATGGTTATAGGTATTGGTACCTATTTTGCTGTTAATGCCAACCAAAGAATCCTGGATTTTATCATACAAATTGTGTCAGGCATACACATTACATGTTATTTACATATTTAAACTTTGTACTGTAAAACAGGGCTGCTTTAAAACCAGGGTATTGACAGGCCAGGATAACTTGATTCATGAGCACTTCTGAAGTAACCCCACCCGAGCTTCTTTGCTTTTGGCTTAGGTATATCTCAGGTTCCAGCTTAGGCAGTAGGCACTTATTATGTACCCTGCACTAAAGCATAGGTACCTAATTGGTTGGCATTGAGCAAAATCTTAAGCCATTTAAAGTTCTGACCCAAAGCCTTGAAATTTGTTAAACGTCACTGTTTATGATCAACTGTTGTTTGAAAAGTTCATTTTGAGCAGCATATATTCATTCCACTTGGGCGCTCTGACACATTCAGGATGGGGGGTTGGATCCGTAAATGCATCACTACCTATTGGTTGCATTGCAGAAGCAAATTATGGGTGGCTTTAACCCCTGCAACCCTCCCCCCCCCATTGACAGAGCCCATGATTACGTTTTCCAGTCACATTCCTTGATCTTGCAACTTGTAAATGCTCTTTGTGTTGATTTAATTTCTTTATTAAATGCTATGTAAAACAAGCAACATTTTGCAATGAAACACAACACATCAAATGCAATGAATGGTGGGGTTAAGAAAGAATTACTGAACACTAAAGCACCAGATTTTTCCAAGATTAAATTTGCTCTTTTTCCATGTTTTTCAATACTTGGGATCCCAAAAAAATGTTAATAAGTGCAGCAAACAGACATGTGCATGTATCCGAGTAATGGATCTATGATCTCAGTGGATGTCGAAGCAAAGTACAGGTTGGGATCTATGACCCCCGGATCGGGAAAAATACATCTTGAATCTATGACATATGATCTGACGATAAATTAAGAACATGGATCTATGATCTGAGTGGATCCCACCATGTACCACATTTGAAACATGTTTAATGGGTTTCTATGCCAATAAGTGACACAAAACTGTGGATTATGACGTGCGATCACATAAAATCACTAAAACAGAACGTTTGTGAGTTGAAACTTGAAACAAGTTTTTTTATATGTTTTAACAAAAAAAATAAGTGAGGATCTATGATCTCACTGGATCTCAAGCAAAAAATGAGACTCGGATCTGTGATCCCCATGGATCTCTCGATAAATTACAGAGCTGGATCTATGGTCCCGACGGATCCGAGATCAGTATTCGGGGGATCAGATCCCAGATCCATTTTCTCGGATCCATGCACATGTCTGGCAGCAAATAGGTATCATTATAATTCATTGAAGTGAAGTTACCTGACCTTGCCTAGCAAATCTGAGTAAGCTCAGCCTAATCCAACCTAACCTAACTTAACCAAACTTACCCTGACCAAGCCTGACAACCCAACCCTACACCACCCAAAACCTAACACCTCACCTACCTTTGCATAAGCCCAGGATGGGTTGGGTCTGATGAGTGTTGGGTGACCTCCCTCAATGGATTATCATGATACTCCTTGCACTAATGAGTATCATTCTTGGATTCAGGATATTGAAAAACATCAGATCAGATCAGATTTTTCTCGGGGTGTTGCTTTGCAACGCCACCCCTTCCGTATTATCTTCGTCTGATATTCTATCGATTCTTGTGATCTTCCTCTTTGGCGTTCATTTGCTATTTCTATATCTCCATAATTGATATAAGTTGTTCTTTTTTTCCTCCATTGACTGGTAGCAGTCATTTTCAAAAATGACTGCCTGGAAAGCTTCATGAAAGAAACATGGAAAGCTTCAAAGCAGCGATATTTACCCTTTGAAAACCATGTGGACATCAGCTTCAGTCATACAAAAATAACCTTAAATTAATCCGCGCCGGGCCGGGGGTTGGGTGTTACCCTCTTGCGGTTTTTTCGCAGATATATCGAAAGCGGCGGCGCTGCGCCGCCATTTTTGGTACACCTGTTCATGCATCTTTTCCGCACATGTGAAAATTTCAGACCCAGGTAACTCAAGCACCTCAGAAAAGTTAGAATCCTCGTCATATCTGTAACGACCAAACGATCACCTTGAAACTTTCAGCGATTGATAATAGTAACAGTGTATACAAAATGCATATCTCGGAATTTTGATATTGGTGACCTAAGGTCAGGCCAATTTTGCGACCTCTCCATTTCAGGTAAGTTAATGGGAGATAATTGAAAGGCGCCTTTTTTGGACGAACGTCATTCCAAACATTCTCAAACATCGTGTTACCGGTAAACTCGACAAGCTGAACCGAAAAATGGCACCTGTGACCCCTCCTTTTGACCCAGAGGTCATATCAGGTCATATCAGGCCCCCAGGAGTTTTCTCTGACAATAACTTTTGATAGAGACAGCTAGAGCGATGAGAACACCTCAGATGTGTTAAGCTCGACGATACGGATCGACTGATATGCAACATGACCTTTTCCGGTCAGGCCATGACTTTGACCTGAGGTCACATTTTCAAAATGACCTTACAAGGTTAAATTATAATTCTTTCGACGCGTCTCGACGAGGGGAACACGATGCGCTGGCAAATTAAATGTCGTCTTTTCCCTGAGTCAAAAGTTATTGCAGAAAAATGTTTTTCATAAAACCGCCATTTTTGGAGTTCTTGCCCTCTGGAGGCTAAACCGTTGACCTGAGGTCAAATCTGAGGACATTATTGCGAAATCGCGTTAAAAGAGCTATCGAATGCGCTTTTCCGAGGTCAAATCTGGGGACATTATGGCAAAATAGCATTAAAAGAGCTATCGAATGCGCTTTTCCGCGCCGCTGTAGCTCTATCGGTTCCCAAGTTAGCCGCTGGCAGTTTCCAAAATTGTTGAAATGGACAAAATGTTACCTTTGATGGCCTCTGGCGACCTGGGCCCTGTTTCGCCGGTGACGTAATGGTTTCGCGCGAGCTGACGTAATGTGATGAGGTCACACTACTGACGTTTCGTGTAATCCGTGAGCTGCGTTTGGAACAGAGTTGCTGTCTCGTTGAATGCGTTTGATAACATTTGTCTGATCGCACGGCCGTAAAGATGTTAGCAGCAATATTTGATGACATCACACAGATTGACGGCGTCATGGTTTGTTGATGTTTCCATGGAAACCCAATTTGACACGTGTGATAGCAGCGTGCTGCTATCACCGGTGAAACAGGGCCCCGAGCTTTGACCTGATCTAAAAATGACCGAAGTGTTATTTTTGGCGTTCTTTCGAATGCCGCTTACTGCGTCTCGCTACGTGGCCCAGGAGCCGAGTTAGACGGGGGGGGGGGGTTCAGAGTTCAGACCCCCCCTCCCGGCCCGGCGTGGAAGTCGCGGAGCACCGGCCCGGCGCGGGTTAATTGACAGAATATGAAAGCTACCCATGCCGTGCTGCAGCTACTTTGCACCATTAATTGTATTGCTTAGGATAAATGCGTTGGGTATACAGTGGAATCCGACAAAATCGACGGCGCCCGGGCTTCGAGCGAATGGCCGGTGCCTTAAGTGAGTTTGCCTGCCGTGTTCTGCGACCGTGGAAGCTGTCCGAAGTCGCTGTTAGCTGCACTGTCGCATAATCTAACTAGCATTCAACGCACCCACCCGCGCACGAATGTGTGATACCTACCTGGAAGACACACAGGTCAAGTTTTTGGCATGCCTGAATAGCGTGAACCTTAGGTGCGAGGACGAAGGGACTACGATGCCTCACCCGGACGAAGTACGCCTGCATTATACACTGGTATATTTAATGTTTAACGACCAAACAAACAAACGAAGGAAGGGAATCGTAAACCTAAGTATCAAAGGAACAAGCAAACATTCACGAACAAAAACGCCAAACCCTGAAACAGTGTCAGGCGGTTTTAACTCGCTATTATCGTCGTTGTTCTACGCCACACAAACACCATGACGGCATCCGAAGTCAGATCTGGTTTATTTTTCTCCCCATCGACGGCGGCGGGGCGCCGAAAGGTGGCGCCAGCGGCGATCATGGGGGGGGGGGGGCCGCAGCGCCTGAGCTGCGGCCGGAGAGAGCGGCCCTGAAGCAGTTCCGCCGGTGTCTGGCGTTGGACTTGCCAGGCATACAGGACACAAAACATAGACAAGACATACATACATAGGTACAAGACATACTCCTCACTTGAACTTTGCCAACCACTGATCGTATGTTAGATCAGGGTTGGCAACGGGACAGAAAACCTTGTTTCGGCTTGGGCCGCCCTTCCCCCGTCTGTGCCCCGTGTCCGCCGTCAGAGCGCCTTTGCACTGGCCGCAGGTGTTGGTGGGCTGCCGGCGCGTGTAGGGCCTCTTGGCGGCGGTGTCGTGGCCGGTGTCCTCGGCCGGGCGACGGCGGGTCTGCGCCTGTCCGACCGTGTCGGCAGGCAGGACGAAGTGGTGCGGTGGGCGGCGACAGTCCACCCGCACCACCTGCACCTGCATCAGCCGCGGCGCCGGTGCTGGCAGGGCGACTGCGGCGATCGGACGGGCTGGCGGCAGCTGCACGCCCTGGAGAAGAGCTCTCCGCTCCGTCTCCTTCTGGTGCTCGTTGAACCTGGCGGCGAAACAAAAACAAAAATTGAGGGGTTTACTTTATACTGTTGATTGAAATGTTCGTTGGGGTCCTTGTATTCCAGAGCTCCTCTTTTGACGCTCCGATCTCTCAGGATGTCGACTTGCATCTCACCGCCTCATCCCAACTCGGTTCAGCGCATTTAGGGACAGAGTCTGGATGTATCCCGTCAGCATTGGCGTCCTCAGTAGGAAGACCATGCGGTAGATGCGCGCCGGTTTCCCAGTGCGAACAATTTTAATTTTCTGATACTCAGAAGTATTGTGAAACGTAATTGTTACAACACTGAATGCGTGTATTGTTCTGGCTTTAACACTCGCTGATAAATTTAGCAAAATCAGGTAATGAACGGGTCCGCCCCCCCCCCCCCCCCAGCAGTAAAGCCGCACACGGGCGAATATGATGGTAGTATTTTTATAACATATCTTACACCATTATTAATGAGAGGATGGACACTGGACATTCTATCAAGTCTCTGCATCTGCAGGATCGAGCGAACATATAACTCACCAGGACGTGAGCGTGTGCTGGTTCAGAGCCGCCAGGTTGACTCCAGTCCGCTGGGTGATTGCGGGACATTTGAGGAGAATGTCCCGCAGGCTGGAGTGGTGGGCCAGGATCTGCGCCCAGCGCGACTGGACCGACCCTCCGCTGCGCCTGGGGTTTCGGTACCGCTCGCAGAGCAGGCGGACGACCGTCTCAGCGAGCCGGTTCAAGTCGGGTCGTTGCGCGGGAACCGCTCCTCGCTTGAGTGAGACTCTGTCAAATAGAAATCCATCATTAAGTTCACTTTCACATGTGTTCTACGAAATTCTACGGAGCACACGTTGGACATACCTTCCAAATTGAAGGTCCCTGGCAAGCAGTATGCAAGTTGTGTTTCGTGAAAATCAATAATTAAATTATGTGATGACGTGGACGCGTTTCGTATTTCTTTTTCATCACATCAGCATGTCCAGGTTGTGACTAACATGCGTACAAAATCCTACCAGCATGGACAATATCTCACTTTTATTGCCTTTTAATAAATATGACATAATTTAATAGTTCCAATAATATGCGTGCAAACCCCAATTATTCTGCCCGATGGTGTTTCATTTGAGAACAACGCTTACAATGATAGTCCTATTTTAAAATGCGGGATCCTTACCTCCGTGCGCTGTGCACGCCCGGCACGACACCAGACAGCCGACTGGTCTTCGGCTGTTTAAACCGGCCAGTCGTCAGCCGGTGCTGGTACCGCGGGGAGGCCGCCACCTTGGCTCTGTCGCCGGCGGATAGCTGGTGCCACAGGTGGACGATGGACTCGGCCTCTTCGTCGGCGACATACCCCCGCGAGCAGTCTAGGCCGACGAGCACCTGCGCCAGGCGGTGGCACTCGGCGTACCCCGGCTGGTGGTCGGGGCCGGTCACGTCCTTAAAACATACATGGAAAACGAGGGTGTCTGACAAGAGCATGTCACCTTCATGAACACATCAGAACATGCATTTTGTGCACTTACAGTTAAAGCAATTTGATTGTGAGACAAGTTACAACATACCTGGCGAGCCGGGTCGCGGTTCCCGAAACTTGAGGTGGTGGCGGAGCCAGCGACGGTGGGTGGCGCGGTGGCTGTGCCCGGGACGCCGGCAGGGACCGGGCCAGGGGCTCCGGCGGTAGTCGGAGGAGCCGACAGCAGCTAAACGCCGTGCTGAGAACAGACGATTTATCCTTTTATAGCAGACTGGTGTGACCGGGCCGGGGTGCATTTACACTCGTGTCAGCCGAGATACCTAATTTCATAATTAAGAAGAAAAAAAGATCCCGAGTGAAACAGAAAGGTCGAAGCAACTCGAAGCAGCCGCACCTCCGGAAGACCCTCGGCTGCCCAGTCTGGCGTCAGTGGGATGGCGGGCGACTGAGCGGCGGCCACTACTGCACCAGGGCCGGGTGAGCTGCGTCCCTCCAGGTCCGGCTGTGCGTCAGCTGGTGACCAGCTGGCAGCGTCGACGGCAGGAGGAGCCGGTGGAGGCTGGTTACCATGCTGAAAGTAGAACGGGCGAATTTAGCGCTCAGGGTGATTGGCATGATTAATATGTGCTTGCGCCCGGTGTATAGCTAACTGATGGACCATTCATCCGTTTGAGGTGGAACACACGGGACTATGTAAGCGAGCAATTAGCTGTCTGAATTAACGCTGATTTGCATATCGCTACTGGAAGTGTAACTATGGAAACTTTTGAGGTCGCAGGTGATCACTTCCAATCCTGGGGAGCTTAATGGTTTTATTTGATTGGACTCAAAACGGTCTGAATGACTGAGAAGTCCCGTCCTTAGATCAAACGAGGCTGACTACCTACCCGTGAGAGGTTGTGAGCTCTAGCGGCGGCGGGCCACGAGGCTGCAGCTGCGGCGGCTGCGGCTGCAGCGGGCCCCGGAGCAGCAGCTGTGGCGGCTGCAGCAGCAGCGGGCCCCCGAGCCGCAGCGGCAGCGGGCCCCGGAGCTGCAGCGGCAGCAGGCCGCGGGGCTGCAGCGGCAGCGGTAGCGGAGCCCGGTCCTGAAGGTGCAGCTGCGGCGGCTGCAGCAGCAGCGGGCCCCGGAGCTGCAGCGGCGGCCGGGCCCGGAGCTCCAGCGACGGCGGCTGCGGCTGCAGCGGCGGCGGAGCCCGGAGCTGCAGCGGCGGCGGGACTCTGAGGTCCGGCGGCGGGATTCTGAGGCCCAGCGTCGGCGGGACTCTGAGGCCCAGCGTCGGCGGAGCTGGGGACTCGGGCGGTAGCGGGTCCCTGAGGTCCGGCGGCGGCGAGGCTGGGGACTCCGACGGGAGCGGCCGGGAGAGGCGTCTGAAGCTGAAACACAAGCGATGTAGTCATGAGCTCAGTATGTTTCGCGATCCTAAGTTACCTGTACACCTATGAAATAAGTTATATGCTTGCTTCATTTGGGATGCAGAAAGTAATAGGGTAAATAACATCCATCAAAGGGTGCAGTATATCGCAAAATTGAAGTAGTTGCATTTAGCTTTAATTTTTAATCATATTGTTATGTTTTGGGTAGTGGGTGTGTCGATAGTCGCAGATTCGCGTTAGACAAAGATAAAAGTGGCGCGAGCATGCCAAAACACTAGCCCTGCCGTTGGTTTTGCGTAAATGCGATTTGACGAGGCTCGGGCAGGTCGAAGTTACAGCGAAAAAGTCGCAGTGGACGGTGCTGCCACCTACATTGCCAATAACGGGCACTATCATATCGTGATAATTGGGGTAGTTTCAAATGAGAAATGACTTCTATTTTTGTTCAAACTGCTTGAGAAGAAATAAAACAATTCGGAAACATACATTTTTCCCAAATATCGCGTTCCATTTTTTCCTGTTGAGTTGTTAGGAAAGTGGTAAATTTCAAGGTTGACGGCTAAAAAACGAAACAGGAGGAACAGAGCAGGAATCACCAAGACGTGTGCCGCGCCGATGTTGTAGCCTGTAGATAAGGGGTGAGCAACAGAACCAGCATACCTAACGATTTTGATTAGTGATAGATATTTTTCTCTAAATGAAAGACTATTAGTAACTCAGGCAAGCCTTCTAATATAGGTATCAACAGGGTTGCGGTAAAAGGTACAATCGATGGCACAATACAATTATTCTGAGTTGGGAAACAACACTATTCAGATACCTACCATCAACAACCTCACTATCTCCTATATGGGAGCTATATCATCTGATTCCAGCGCCCTGAAAACAAACAGGTTATCACCAAAAATCTCTGTATTAGCGCCTACCGACATATGCTGAATGACGCTATCAATACCTGACATTTGTAAAAGGTGATTCGCCACACAGACCGCCGGCGTCTGAGGGGTTGAATCAGTGAGCCAGATTGCCAGCGACTCACCGCTGAACTACCGGGCATAACAAAACGGACGATGCGACATGACTCAGAGATCATCACAGACGCAACGACAAATGTAACCGAAGGCCATCTAATCTCGTGCGGAACCCTCGTTCAGATACGTAATATCGCTATCTGCCACCTCGCGGTTCCCTTGTCAAGCCGAACTCATAGGCGACGGAACGGGGAGGGCACCGCGGCACCGTGCCCCCTTTGATTTTGGCATTTTAACATTAGCCCTATGGGCGTTGCATAGAAAGAATATGGGACCAAAAGTCGGCAGTGCCCCTCTTAATTGAAGGTATTCCGCCGCTACTGGCCGAACTGATGACACGTAATGGCCAGTCAGTCACAGCTCAGCTTCCTGCGGAACAGGAAGATACATTCAGTGAGAGTCGGTGGTCATTCACTGTGTCAATATTATTGACACGGTGACTAAAGAACGGTTATATTGCGCCAATAATGTTGCCAGTAGCAGCACCACCAATCTTTTGAACTAAATCACTTGCTATCGGTGAAAAGAAACCTTCTAGCTATTTTCAAGCAATACGCGAAATAGAGGGAATTAGAAAACCGAAAACCCAAATATTAGCACTAGATTACATCGATCTTAAATTTTGGCCAACATTTTTAAAGCAAACATCAGAGGAGCTGTTGGCGGCTTACCGTCGCGTCTGTGATGATCTCTGAGTCATGTCGCATCGTCCGTTTTGTTATGCCCGGTAGTTCAGCGGTGAGTCGCTGGCAATCTGGCTCACTGATTCAACCCCTCAGACGCCGGCGGTCTGTGTGGCGAATCACCTTTTACAAATGTCGGGTATTGATAGCGTCATTCAGCATATATCGGTAGGCGCTAATACAGAGATATTTGGTGATAACCTGTTTGTTTTCAGGGCGCTGGAATCAGATGATATAGCTCCCATATAGGAGATAGTGAGGTTGTTGATGGTAGGTATCTGAAGAGTGTTGTTTCCCAACTCAGAATAATTGTAATGTGCCATCGATTGTACCTTTTACCGCAACCCTGTCGATACCTATATTAGAGGGCTTGCCTGAGTTACTAATAGTCTTTCATTTAGAGAAAAATATCTATCACTAATCAAAATCGTTAGGTATGCTGGTTCTGTTGCTCACCCCTTATCTACAGGCTACAGCATCGGCGCGGCACACGTCTTCGTGATTCCTGCTCTGTTCCTCCTGTTTCGTTTTTTAGCCGTCAACCTTGAAATTTACCACTTTCCTAACAACTCAACAGGAAAAAATGGAACGCGATATTTGGGAAAAATGTATGTTTCCGAATTGTTTCATTTCTTCTAAAGCAGTTTGAACAAAAATAGAAGTCATTTCTCATTTGAAACTACCCCAATTATCACGATATGATAGTGTCCGTTATTGGCAATGTAGGTGGCAGCACCGTCGACTGCGACTTTTTCGCTGTAACTTCGACCCGCACGAGCCTCGTCAAATCGCACTATTACGCAAAACCAACTGCAGGGCTAATGTTTTGGCATGCTCGCGCCACTTTATATCTTTGTCTAACGCGAATCTGTGAGAAAAACACCTCTGTCGACACACCCTCCGGTACTCTTTAATTAACTTACTGGCATTTCGAGACCATCGTACGCGTCGGTCACGAAGATGTCCTCGACGTCCTCGAATCCCTCGTCGAGGTCATCGCCAACATCGTCATCCTCGCCGTGCTGCGTGTCGGGGTCACCCACCCTGTACTCGTCGAGCCTACGGCCCTGTCCGTACAGGTAGGCGACCCCGACGAGCTCACCTGAATGTAAACAGAAGCATGTGTGAAACATTATGTTTCACGACTTGTGACAACTTGACACGTCTTGGACTCTTGGTACGTAAGTTCGTTTTATGTATATAGGTATTAGGTAGTAAATAATTTTAGCTGATCGGTTGTCGCGGCAGCGGCAACCTTTTCATAAGTTCAAATTCAATGGAGGCTAGCGGACTTAACTGCATTCGATCATTGGCATTAGTTGGCAGTTTTTGTACTGTATAATTTGTGTGACTGTAGCATGCGACTTTTTACCCGTGTATCGAAGAGGCTCGCTTCTGGTGACTAGGTCCCTCTTGAGCACCCTCTGCGACAGGTCGATGACGGCTGCCCGTATCCGGCCGTCGTAGCACCCTGTACTCGTCCGTAGCACCGGACCTCGCGGGCGCTGTCCTGTCCGATCGCCGCCAGGTGACGATCCGCGTTCCATCTAACCAGACCATCGATCAGGAAGGCCTGGAAGTGGAGGTCGCTGGCTGTAGTCCCTGGAAAAGAATAGAATTAAGTATTAATGAGATACAGGATAAAGTGCTTAGCTTAACCCTATTCCAGAAGGCTTTCGACCACCCTTCAGGTTTCTATTGTGTCATTGCCAAGCGATATTAGATAACCAGTATAACGCCTTTTGGGGCGACTAACGGAGCGAGCGAGAGGGTGAGCCTTGCACGTGCGAAATTGCGAGGGGGTACCTCCAACTGAGTTGTGCACGGCACCCTACTAACCGGTCTCTAGCGATGTGCCAAATTTGAGCACAATCGGCCCAGCCGTTCTCGAGATCTGGAAGCGGCACCCTGCACGTGCGCACGTGCAAAATGGGTCCCAACTGACTTTTGCACGGCACCCTACTAACCGGTCCCTAACCACGTACCAAATTTGAGCGCCATCGGTCCAGCCGTTCTCGAGATCTGGAATCGACCCCTGCACGTGCGCACGTGCAGCAGCACCCCAACTCTGGCACATGGATATGCATTGCATAGTGGGTGCCTACCTACATGCCAACTTTTAGCGCAATCGGCCGAGTAGTTACCGAGATACCGTAGTTTCGTGCAACTTTGGCCACCAAGGGCAACTTTGGCCCATGCCTGGAAAAGGGGTGACCTCTATCCAGACCATGTTGCTTAACATTGTACATAAAAGATGACTTAATTATTGAGGCTCAACGAAAAAAGTGGGCCAAAGTTGCACGAAGCTACGGTATTGCAACTATTACAAAACTGACACCTCTTCTTTTTGCACGTGGCACCTACATAAGGGATCATCCACATGCATCTAATGACCATCTCGATTTTCGTGATTGGTTGTCTGGGATCCATGCCCATGTCTGCTTGGAAGAAGGAATGAAGCTACCCTACAAAAATTACCGCAGGTAAATCGGTCAAGTGGTTGCTGAGATATATGTAAGCCTCGCAAAAGCGTCCGCACGGCCGGCCGGCCGGCCGCTCATACCCATAAATTTCCGTTAATCTACGAAAGACTCCGCTCGCTTCGTTCGCTCCGTAATCATGTTTTGGCAGCAAAGAACAAGAAATGCCCACACAATGAGGTACTCTAAGAGCAAACAACACAAGTGAACAGCCAGTTTGGGTGGCAATGACATATTATGTTTATAATTACCTGGCCTGCAGCATGCCGCTCAAGCTGCAGATTGGGCTGGATGTTGGGGCGCTGCCTCAGCTCCGCCAGACGGCCGGACTCAACATATTGCCGGATCCGCTGGATCCCAGCCCTGTCATGGGGGTCCTAGAGCATGGGTTGGATGCAGCTCAGCGTACTGAATTCAGCCACCATCATGACCATCATGCTCTAAGTATGCAGCCCAAGCAAAGCATTTGCAAAACCAAGGAAATAAAAATGTCATGAAAAGCAGTGAGGTTAACAATAAATGGGATAAAACAAACTTGTGAACATAAGTTAACCAGCCACCACACCATTGCACTGTTGTGTTAGCTCGCAAGCACCAGCACTAAGCCTGGGGACCTGTGCAACAACACAGCACACCTTTATAAGTAATAGGTACAACTCTCAGCCCAGGACACCACAGATGTACTCAAAATACTATACTGTGCTATTGTCCAAGCCATCCACCACCCCAAAAAAAAAAACAACAGCAAAACAGCAAAACAGCGACATGTCCAACACCAAGCAAATAAATTAGTCAGAAATAGTGATTAGAAGCATCAAATAGGACCACCCAGTCACAGCTGACATTCTAGTGAGGATGCAAGAATGGTGCATGATGACTGGGGCTCTGAAAAAGAATGAGACCTAGTTACTCACTGAAAAATGGTGCACTGTTATGGTATGCGTATTGAGCAGGATTCTCTTAAAAAAAAAATAATTTAATCAAACACATGTGAACATGAGTTCATAAGGGCTTTCTCATACTCTATGGTGTATGTTTGCATCCCTGTACCAAAAAGAAGTCATTTAAAACCACAAGTATATGGGAACTAGGCATCAAGAAGTTCTCCATGAATTGTCTGCTCTTACACTGTGCAGTCCAGTCAGTTACAGCCTCTTTGCAGCGCAGCCACCCCCCGGAAGGTCAGCGGCTGCTGGCTGCCGCACTGCCGTGGGCATCTTTGGACCTGAAACACAAATACAATCATATATTATGTTAATGATAATACATACCAATTACCATAGACCTCTGTATACCTCTGACTAAGAAGACTAAGATAAGAGACTAAGAAAATGTAGATTTTTCGGAAAGTTAACAATTGATGGTAGGCGATCTAAGCTCAATATGTCTCCAACTCACCTTGTTATACAGGTCAAGGACAGCCCTTGGCTGTCTCGGACCGGGCCTGCTGCCCATGTCCGGCGTCCAGCATTTTTGTTGTGCGAATTTTTTCAGGCGCTGGGCCCAGATGGCTTGTCCAAAGGCTTTGTGACTTTTCCCCATTGTTTTCTGTCAACAGTAGTACGGTGCTTCAGAGGGCCTTCATATAAAATTTCCATGTTTTAGGCGTCTACTGTTTTAAGCTTAAACAGTGTAATTATTTCAAAAATGCTTGCTCTCAATAAAATTAAATCATACTTAATAAACCTATGAACAATGCATTTATTTTGACTAAAATATAATGTCCTTTTATTTGACATCCTCCATGCAAACCTTATCATTATGACAACTCCGGTGATACCAATCAAATACGTTGGAACCTCTAACAATGTCGATGCAAAACTGAAACAGAAATCGATACTGACAAGGTACCTTCTTCTCTACCCACTTTCAAGACTTTCAACATAAATATATTCAGCATAACACTGCCCATGCATGCCATTGATGTAAAAAAATTAATGACCTACACTTGGCGCCGTATGTTCGCCAGACTCACGTGCTTTGTCCAACGTTTGTTTACATTTGCTGGCTCCGGGATGCATTCTACCGATACGACTGAATCTTGCTTCAGTAGAGCATACGCATCTCCGGCATCTCCAGCACCTTTTGCTAAAGCTCATAAGAGGTCCACTGCTCCACCAGACTCGAAACCGGTAGATCGTCGATCGGTTCCGCCCTCTGATTGGTCGAGGGAGAGACTGCAACGCCCATTCCCCAGCATAGGAAACTATCATCAAAGACTTCAATTGATACCTCCCGATCACAAGAAAGGAACCATGGCTTTCGCGTGGAATATCTCCCGACGGAATTAAGGGAGGGCGACGATATTGACTCAGTGAGCTCTTGGATGCTCGTAGTTGAGAATGAGTGCCTTACATTGGGCCGAAATGTATTACAAAATCTTTTCTTTCTCCTTCCCTCTTTCCGTTTGGAGTTCCCCCGCTGGCAACACTAATGTTCCCCAGCTTTGGCGCAGTGGATAGCGCGTTGGACTTCTAATCCAAAGGTCCCGGGTTCGAATCCCGGCAGGGATGGATTTTAAAAGACCAACAAAATATGGAGTAGAGAGAAAACGACGGGTCGAATTCCCATCAACATAGCGTGCATGCGCCGATAGATTGGCAGCACGCATTCATGGTGCCTACTGAGTGTCCTCGGGCGTAAGAAGTATGCAGTAAAGTATCCGCATACATTTTTCCAGTTCCTACGCCATGGATCAAATAATTTTCGCACAAGTTATATTTGAGCCTTAGCAGCAGCTGCCTTGAACCCCGTAAGCCAGACATTGCTGATTCACCTAAGTACTACGACCGACAGATGGGCAGCCTCGGGTGCGTCTCCGAGGCCGGCACTGCGGTGCCATCTGTCGCCCCGGCTGGGTAACTGCAGTTGGATCATCACCAGGCGCCCAAGGCCGTTTCAGTAGCGCCAACGGTTCGCCCAGCGCGACGGTACAGCGCCGGGCCAATGCCACAGATGGCGTTGGCACACGGAGTACGCTCGTCAGTCGGATCGACCACCCTCAGACCCTCGATAGCCAGTAGTAAGGTCAACATTAAAAACAGAAGTACAATTGCACAATATATTACTTCGATTTCTTCACAACTGATGCCTGAGTGGAAGAAGTCTTATGCCTTTAAAAGGTAACTATGAGATGGATCGGCAAAGCCGCCTGATGAAAACAAAATGCAAATAAAGATCATAGGACAAAAATGCACATAATTGTAAGAACCTAATGCCATTCTGGACAGTACGCAACAGTCCATAACATGGACTAGGTATACCAGCTTGACACACACAAATACATAACTTGACAGTGACGATGATAAGGATTCTGAGACGCCTTGTTAACGAAAGGTTCTGGATGTGATGAAAATCAATGCATAAATGCTAAAATTATCCAGAGAGCTGACAATGTTAAAACTTGTCCTACTCAGTACGTGCCTGCAAATAAGACCACTGTCATTCTCCAGACAAGTCAATACACTTCAGTCATGCTTCTAAAAGGTACCAGGCAAGACACATCTTTAGCACAAGGGAACATAAGAATGCATCTGAACTAGCACAGTGGCACATCAGATAGGTACATAACAAATGAGAAACTCCACTCAGAGTTTTAATTTGTACATAGCAAGCCATTCAGCCACCGCTACTCAAGCCTCCAGCCCACCCTTACAGCTCAAATTCACAGCAACAGTGCAAACATCTACTCACCACAGTGAAGATGGCCTGAGTAATGTTGTAAGTTAGCAGCAAGACTAAAGCCTAGGATGATGCACTGTGTCACACCTCTATTGAATCACTGTTCTGGGATGAGTCTGTCATGAATACACTATTGGCAATGGTTGCCACTGGAACTGTGTTGATGAACATGGGTGCTTGAAACATGGGATGCTGCATGTGAATGACATGATGGACTGGTGGCAACCCACCAGCTGGGTGATGGGGAGAGTCTATCCTCATGGGCTGGAACACAGGCTGCTGAGGCTGCTGCTGCTGCTGCTGCTGCTGCTGCTGAGGCTGCTGTGAGTTGGGCGCAGCTTCTGGAACAACTGTCTGGTGCAGTGGTTGGTGAAGCTCATGAACCTTGATGCTTTCTTGATTTGGAATATGTGGTCTCACTTTTTTCCCACCAGGCCTGTGAGGATTTCTGCATCCTCTGCACTTGCAGTCTAGACAGGCCCTTGACTCAACATAGCAGGGGCACCTTTGTCCACAGCAAGTGAGCTTGCCTGGAGTGGGGGTTGCATTTCCACATCGGCAGCCCCTCTGCACCTTCTTCCTGGGTACCATCCTTGATCCACTGATACCACCGACGGGCCCCAACCTGCTCGGGATGCGCTCCGCAGGTTGGCTGAATGCCGCTGCCACAGGAAGCCTGTGGTGGTTAGGGTGCTCTGAGGGTGCTTTAAGTTTCGCAGTTCTTCCTCCATCACTTGAAAAGAACATGGAGTAAAATGGATGAGACACTGGTGTCGATGTGGGTGGGGGAGGCAAGGAGGGAGGTTGTGGGGAAGGAGGCACATGGGACATGACAGGCTGATGGGCAAAATGAACCTCAGGGCTTGGACATGGTTGTGACTGAATGCCAGGTGATGGTGAGGGAATGATCTGAGGAGAAGTGACCAGAGGCATACTCACTTGGCTGGATATATGGATGTTGGCATGGTAGGAAACCCCTTCATTGGAGGAATGTTCTGAGTCAACAATCTCACTTTTCACCACAGGGACTTCTCTCATGGTATCTCCATCTTCCTTCACAGCCCACTCATTTGGTTGCTCATTGTCTGCTCCTTCTTGAATCAGTTCAACAAGACTTGACTTGCCACCATTCAGAGAAAAAGAGTTTAACCTTTCATATATTTTAGTATGTTGCAGATACTGACATGTCTTCCTGAAGGCATCAACGATGAGCTTCAGTTGCTGGTTCGGAACATATAATTGGTAGTCCTTGCAGTAACTGCATGATGGCTTCAAGCGCTTCTTTCCGCCAACACAGCTCTTGCACACACTATGTTGACAATGCTGATCTGATGGACTTCTTGGTTCCTCGATAATGCACCCACAAACTGTGCAGGCCAGCGCATGGCGCAATTGCGGCAAAAGCTTGTACAGGTCTCCCCAGCTCGTACTTTCCTCAACGGATGCCTCCACGACAAGCTTGCACATTTTCAGGTGAAGTGAAAGAGCATGACTTGATGACATCATGCAAACCCGGTTCAAAGTCTTTCAACTGCCTCGTGCATCACATATCAAATTTCAATAATACCAACAAATCGCACGGGGCACGCCGTGTTTCGCGAATGTCACTTTTGATCACTGAACTCTATACGTCCATCAATTGAGCAGCAGATTGATATTCGCGAATATCAAACTAAAAATTCGATATTCGGACGGGGAACGCAATAACTCAAGAACCAGTGAACCGATTTTGATGAAAATGCCCTCATTCGATTCCTCGTTCCTTATTGCAGGTTGACAGCGATTTCCAGGTCACTAGGTCATGACCTTCAAGGTCAAGGTCAAGGTCAAAGGACGGGGAACGCTCTACAGCCTAAAGTTACCGTCCGATTGGCTTGTAAATGGTCTCAATCGATTCCTCGACCCCGATTCCAGGTTGACAGCGATTTCCAGGTCACTAGGTCATGACCTTCAAGGTCAAGGTCAAGGTCAAAGGACGGGGAACGCTCTACAGCCTAAAGTTACCGTCCGATTGGCTTGTAAATGGTCTCAATCGATTCCTCGACCCCGATTCCAGGTTGACAGCGATTTCCAGGTCACTAGGTCATGACCTTCAAGGTCAAGGTCAAGGTCAAAGGACGGGGAACGCTATACAGCCTAAAGTTACCGTCCGATTGGCTTGTAAATAGTCTCAATCGATTCCTCGACCCCGATTCCAGGTTGACAGCGATTTCCAGGTCACTAGGTCATGACCTTCAAGGTCAAGGTCAAGGTCAAAGGACGGGGAACGCTCTACAGCCTAAAGTTACCGTCCGATTGGCTTGTTAATGGTCTCAATCGATTCCTCGACCCCGATTCCAAGTTGACAGCGATTTCCAGGTCACTAGGTCATGACCTTCAAGGTCAAGGTCAAGGTCAAAGGACGGGGAACGCTCTACAGCCTAAAGTTACCGTCCGATTGGCTTGTAAATGGTCTCAATCGATTCCTCGACCCCGATTCTAGGTTGACAGCGATTTCCAGGTCACTAGGTCATGACCTTCAAGGTCAAGGTCAAGGTCAAAGGACGGGGAACGCTCTACAGCCTAAAGTTACCGTCCGATTGGCTTGTAAATGGTCTCAATCGATTCCTCGACCCCGATTCCAGGTTGACAGCGATTTCCAGGTCACTAGGTCATGACCTTCAAGGTCAAGGTCAAGGTCAAAGGACGGGGAACGCTCTACAGCCTAAAGTTACCGTCCGATTGGCTTGTAAATGGTCTCAATCGATTCCTCGACCCCGATTCCAGGTTGACAACAATTTCCGGGTCACTAGGTCATGACCTTCAAGGTCAAGGTCAAGGTTTGCGAATATCAAACTAACAATTCGATATTCGGACGGGGAACGCAATAACTCAAGAACCAGTGAACCGATTTTGATGAAAAGACCCTCATTCGATTCCTCGTTCCTCATTGCAGGTTGACAGCGATTTCCAGGTCACTAGGTCATGACCTTCAAGGTCAAGGTCAAGGTCAAAGGACGGGGAACGCTCTACAGCCTAAAGTTACCGTCCGATTGGCTTGTAAATGGTCTCAATCGATTCCTCGACCCCGATTCCAGGTTGACAGAGATTTCCAGGTCACTAGGTCATGACCTTCAAGGTCAAGGTCAAGGTCAAAGGACGGGGAACGCTCTACAGCCTAAAGTTACCGTCCGATTGGCTTGTAAATGGTCTCAATCGATTCCTCGACCCCGATTCCAGGTTGACAGCGATTTCCAGGTCACTAGGTCATGACCTTCAAGGTCAAGGTCAAGGTCAAAGGACGGGGAACGCTCTACAGCCTAAAGTTACCGTCCGATTGGCTTGTAAATGGTCTCAATCGATTCCTCGACCCCGATTCCAGATTGACAGCGATTTCCAGGTCACTAGGTCATGACCTTCAAGGTCAAGGTCAAGGTCAAAGGACGGGGAACGCTCTACAGCCTAAAGTTACCGTCCGATTGGCTTGTAAATAGTCTCAATCGATTCCTCGACCCCGATTCCAGGTTGACAGCGATTTCCAGGTCACTAGGTCATGACCTTCAAGGTCAAGGTCAAGGTCAAAGGACGGGGAACGCTCTACAGCCTAAAGTTACCGTCCGATTGGCTTGTAAATGGTCTCAATCGATTCCTCGACCCCGATTCCAGGTTGACAGCGATTTCCAGGTCACTAGGTCATGACCTTCAAGGTCAAGGTCAAGGTCAAAGGACGGGGAACGCTCTACAGCCTAAAGTTACCGTCCGATTGGCTTGTTAATGGTCTCAATCGATTCCTCGACCCCGATTCCAGGTTGACAGCGATTTCCAGGTCACTAGGTCATGACCTTCAAGGTCAAGGTCAAGGTCAAAGGACGGGGAACGCTCTACAGCCTAAAGTTACCGTCCGATTGGCTTGTAAATGGTCTCAATCGATTCCTCGACCCCGATTCTAGGTTGACAGCGATTTCCAGGTCACTAGGTCATGACCTTCAAGGTCAAGGTCAAGGTCAAAGGACGGGGAACGCTCTACAGCCTAAAGTTACCGTCCGATTGGCTTGTAAATGGTCTCAATCGATTCCTCGACCCCGATTCCAGGTTGACAGCGATTTCCAGGTCACTAGGTCATGACCTTCAAGGTCAAGGTCAAGGTCAAAGGACGGGGAACGCTCTACAGCCTAAAGTTACCGTCCGATTGGCTTGTTAATGGTCTCAATCGATTCCTCGACCCCGATTCCAAGTTGACAGCGATTTCCAGGTCACTAGGTCATGACCTTCAAGGTCAAGGTCAAGGTCAAAGGACGGGGAACGCTCTACAGCCTAAAGTTACCGTCCGATTGGCTTGTAAATGGTCTCAATCGATTCCTCGACCCCGATTCTAGGTTGACAGCGATTTCCAGGTCACTAGGTCATGACCTTCAAGGTCAAGGTCAAGGTCAAAGGACGGGGAACGCTCTACAGCCTAAAGTTACCGTCCGATTGGCTTGTAAATGGTCTCAATCGATTCCTCGACCCCGATTCCAGGTTGACAGCGATTTCCAGGTCACTAGGTCATGACCTTCAAGGTCAAGGTCAAGGTCAAAGGACGGGGAACGCTCTACAGCCTAAAGTTACCGTCCGATTGGCTTGTAAATGGTCTCAATCGATTCCTCGACCCCGATTCCATGTTGACAACAATTTCCGGGTCACTAGGTCATGACCTTCAAGGTCAAGGTCAAGGTTTGCGAATATCAAACTAACAATTCGATATTCGGACGGGGAACGCAATAACTCAAGAACCAGTGAACCGATTTTGATGAAAAGACCCTCATTCGATTCCTCGTTCCTCATTGCAGGTTGACAGCGATTTCCAGGTCACTAGGTCATGACCTTCAAGGTCAAGGTCAAGGTCAAAGGACGGGGAACGCTCTACAGCCTAAAGTTACCGTCCGATTGGCTTGTAAATGGTCTCAATCGATTCCTCGACCCCGATTTCAGGTTCACAGCGATTTCCAGGTCACTAGGTCATGACCTTCAAGGTCAAGGTCAAGGTCAAAGGACGGGGAACGCTCTACAGCCTAAAGTTACCGTCCGATTGGCTTGTAAATGGTCTCAATCGATTCCTCGACCCCGATTCCAGGTTGACAGCGATTTCCAGGTCACTAGGTCATGACCTTCAAGGTCAAGGTCAAGGTCAAAGGACGGGGAACGCTCTACAGCCTAAAGTTACCGTCCGATTGGCTTGTAAATGGTCTCAATCGATTCCTCGACCCCGATTTCAGGTTGACAGCGATTTCCAGGTCACTAGGTCATGACCTTCAAGGTCAAGGTCAAGGTCAAAGGACGGGGAACGCTCTACAGCCTAAAGTTACCGTCCGATTGGCTTGTAAATGGTCTCAATCGATTCCTCGACCCCGATTCCAGGTTGACAGCGATTTCCAGGTCACTAGGTCATGACCTTCAAGGTCAAGGTCAAGGTCAAAGGACGGGGAACGCTCTACAGCCTAAAGTTACCGTCCGATTGGCTTGTAAATGGTCTCAATCGATTCCTCGACCCCGATTCCAGGTTGACAGCGATTTCCAGGTCACTAGGTCATGACCTTCAAGGTCAAGGTCAAGGTCAAAGGACGGGGAACGCTCTACAGCCTAAAGTTACCGTCCGATTGGCTTGTAAATGGTCTCAATCGATTCCTCGACCCCGATTCCAGGTTGACAGCGATTTCCAGGTCACTAGGTCATGACCTTCAAGGTCAAGGTCAAGGTCAAAGGACGGGGAACGCTCTACAGCCTAAAGTTACCGTCCGATTGGCTTGTAATAGAGCGTTCCCCGTCCTTTGACCTTGACCTTGACCTTGAAGGTCATGACCTAGTGACCTGGAAATCGCTGTCAACCTGGAATCGGGGTCGAGGAATCGATTGAGACCATTTACAAGCCAATCGGACGGTAACTTTAGGCTGTAGAGCGTTCCCCGTCCTTTGACCTTGACCTTGACCTTGAAGGTCATGACCTAGTGACCTGGAAATCACTGTCAACCTGGAATCGGGGTCGAGGAATCGATTGAGACCATTTACAAGCCAATCAGACGGTAACTTTAGGCTGTAGAGCGTTCCCCGTCCTTTGACCTTGACCTTGACCTTGAAGGTCATGACCTAGTGACCTGGAAATCGCTGTCAACCTGGAATCGGGGTCGAGGAATCGATTGAGACCATTTACAAGCCAATCGGACGGTAACTTTAGGCTGTAGAGCGTTCCCCGTCCTTTGACCTTGACCTTGACCTTGAAGGTCATGACCTAGTGACCTGGAAATCGCTGTCAACCTGGAATCGGGGTCGAGGAATCGATTGAGAACATTTACAAGCCAATCGGACGGTAACTTTAGGCTGTAGAGCGTTCCCCGTCCTTTGACCTTGACCTTGACCTTGAAGGTCATTACCGAGTGACCTGGAAATCGCTGTCAACCTGGAATCGGGGTCGAGGAATCGATTGAGACCATTAACAAGCCAATCGGACGGTAACTTTAGGCTGTAGAGCGTTCCCCGTCCTTTGACCTTGACCTTGACCTTGAAGGTCATGACCTAGTGACCTGGAAATCGCTGTCAACCTGGAATCGGGGTCGAGGAATCGATTGAGACTATTTACAAGCCAATCGGACGGTAACTT